AAATCTTTTGATTCATTCAAATGTCAGCTGAAGTCGTTTCTGTTTTTAAATTAATAAGATGAATATTTGGAATAATTTTCTTTGGTCAGAACACAACGTTTCATGTTACTGTTTATGTTATACTGTATTGTAAATCGCTCAGAGCCTGTGTACTTTATTCGGAGTTGAGCGCTATATAAATGGCATTTGATATTATTATTATTACTTGCATTTTGTTTGTTTTAATCCAAAAGGCAAAGACAAATTGTGTATAGTCCCACCCCCTTCCTTGGAAAACAGTAAAACGTTTCAAAATCAAACAGGAAGCTTGCCATCAGCTCTACCGAAAGAAATAAGTTGAGTTTACTTTTGTTGACGTTCTCTCCATGGTAAAGTCAACTCGAGGTCCCCCAATTCTAAAAATAAGTTAGAATCGTCTTTCGTGAATGACGTCATGTGCCCCACCCCCACACACACACACACACACACACACACACACACACACACACACACACACACACACACACACACACACACAATCTTGGCCCCACAGAGAGTGAAGACCCCTCGCGTGTGTTGTAGGTCCAGTAACTTCCGATTGGAAACTTCAAACAGTCTTTTACTCATTTCCGTATTGCATACTTTTTACTTCTTTTCACCTTCATCAAGTTCACCTTTGTACGAGGGGGGTTCAAGAAGTCTTTGGTCTAAATAAGAAGGAATAAAGAGAGAGCTTTGTAACTTTGTACACCACTTTCATGTCTCTACATAGTCACCATGCAGAGTAACACATTTCTGCCACCTCTCTTTGACCTTCAAAAGTCCTTGAGAAAAAATGACCCAGAATGGGCCCCTAACCAGTCTTCCACAGCTTCAATAGCGTCCTTGTTGTCATGGAAACGACGTCCTTTCTGTTACTTTTTTTTTAGATTAGGAAACAGAAAAAAATCTGAAGGGGCTATGTCTGGTGAATAAGCTGGGTGTGGCAGGATTTCAAAGCCGCACTGTTCTGCTGTCTGGACTGTTTGTTGTGCCGTGTTCGTAGGGGCATTGTCATGCAGTAGGAGGACCCCATTACGGAGTTTTCCATGCCTTTTTCTCACCAATTCGGACCTCAATTTTATCAGCAAACGCGAATAGTAGTCCCCTGTGACTGTTTTTTTCATTTCCCAGGTAGTCAGTCATGATGATACCTTCACAATCCCTGAAACATGACGGCATGACCTTTCCACTTGACAGTGCTACCATTGCCTTTTTTGGTGAGGTAGAAGAAGGGCTTTTCCATTGCTTGGAGGACATTTTTTGTTCTGGATCGAACCGATAAATCCATGTTTTCATCCATAGTCACCATATCTTAACAGAAATTTGTGTAATTGGACTTAATTCGAAGTAGAGTTTTGCAGGACTCAACCCTCAACTTCTTTTGCTCACTTGTGAAAAGGCGGGGTATCCACAGACACCTTATTCGTGTTAAGAGGGCCATGGAAAATCATTTCAGTTAACCATACACTGACTCCCGTTTCTCTTGAGAGCTGTTTAACAGTTTTACATCGGTCTTGTAAAACCAGTTTCTTCACTATAGATACATTCTCTTTAGTTACCACAAAGAATGGGCGCCCTTCATGATCTTCATCCATCACCGACATGAATCCATATTTGAATTTTCTTACTCAGTATGTCACAGTATTATAACGAGGTTATTTATTACCATAAAATTGAACCATTTCCTGAAATATGTCCTAAGGACATAGACATAGATGGAAAAGATCTAAGAATTATCAGAAATTTGTACTGGGACCAAAACGCTGCTGTACGAATTAATGGAGAATACAGTGAATATAAGCAGATTAAGCGAGGAGTGAGG